GTAATGAAGTGATGCAGAGGAAAAAGTCTGAGAGAAGATTTGTCTGCTAAAAACATTAAAGATGGATACTTTACTTCACTAACTTTAAAAAGAGATTTGTTTTAACTAGAACCACGGCCACTTCATCCCATGTACTTCGTTTATACTGAATAGAGGAAGTGTCACCTTTAAAGATGGCACCTTTACACGGCCAACAAATCTGCCTTATGTTTTCTTTTCTTATGGGCACTATCTGCTATTGAATAGATACTACAGGTTTGTTCAGATATTATAGCTTAAATGTACAAATCTGACAGAAACCTACCAACAAGTTAACCTTTGATGTGATTTTAGTCTAGTTTTATTAAGAGATGTTGAGATAAAGGTGACAGTTTCTTATGTAATATGGAAGTTTCATTGTGCCGCTTTAACTTGTTTTCATACTAGTGTCATCAAGAGCTGTACTTATATGTGTATATACATATGAATGCATATATGTACCTACACACAAACATACATGCAAGACATTCCAAAAATACTGTCCTCCTATGAATACTGTGTACCAGTAATTTGGGTTTTAATCTACTTTAGGATACCATTACATGTAGGATTTCTCTAACCTAATCTAGACATTTTCATTTTAGCTGTATAAGTCTGATATTATCCCACAGATTCTTTTATAGTCCACAAAGTGTAATCACATCCAACAAAGCAATTCAGCTCACCTTAAGATAAATACTTAAGCTAATGTAGATGAATAGCTATGGAAGATACAGAGGAACATGTCTGCTTAACAGAGACATAAGAATTTAACTTTTCTTCATCAAAACATAGCTGTTATTTATCCCAGTCTCCACTACTCACTTTTTCTGCTTACCTCCCTGTCTCTGAAATACTGACACAAAATCTGCTTGAGAGATCCTGCTCTCTCTAAATGTCACTGGGATCAGTCCATCCTGCCTTCAGATTGCTGAAAGCCACATTTCACTGTCCCTATAGACTGTGATCAAACCCAAATGATCACAGGCAGCACCCTCTGCCTGGCTGTTCCACATTTTCCTCTCCTCCTTCAATGCTATTCTGTCTTTTCACATTCTCTCCCTGAGCTTGAGGTCACACATTACCTCAATGGAGACAGACTTACAGTCCTGTCGCAGCTGATTGTACAAATAAGCCTTTGAATGATAGAAAATAATTAACGATTTCAAGTTGCATAACAAGGGAAGCCAATCAATACCTTTACAGTCCGTATGATCCAAAGGTCAATTAGGCAGTTTATATGTGCATTTCTGGTTTTGTACAAATAGCTCTTGCAAGCTTCACTAAAATGTACTTGCACTTTATCAGTCCATGACCTTATAGGTTGTACAATTCATGAGCAATTTAAGGCATTCTCAAAAATGTTTCTGAAATATTACAAATAGTATAAATAAAAAATGAGACTACAATAAGCATCAACCCACACAAAACTGCATTTTTTACCATATGTATCAGCAGGTCTCTGCTGCTTCTTTTCTCTCTAGGAACCATCACAGCTAAGCAGAATGCAAATAAACATCAACATCTTTATTTAAAGTACAACTTTGTGAAATTTCCATGAGTTTGTTATTTAGGTCAAGGACTCTGAATTATCCTTTGCTCAAGAAAAAATCACCGAAGCTGTATATGAGTGACAAAGAACTTATACCCAGGCCACATATTTTGCATTCAAATTAATTGAAACTAATGAATGATATGAAAAAGTGATAGCTTAATCCTGACAACATTAAAATCTATGCAAAGGAGTGGTTTAGACTTCATGATGCAGAACCACATCTTATGACTGGATTTATCATTGCTAGAAATACCTAGACTTTGGTCCAACAGCCTCCAACTTGTCAAACTCTAGTTTAATTTTTACAGCTAAACATCTCTGCAAATATGGCATAATCTTGGAAGACAGAGCATTTATGCGTTAGACAATGAAAGGATGGATACTTCTTTGTATTGTTGGATCCATTGGATACTTCAACAATGTTCAATGAAAGTAAATGCATTCCCCACATATTAAACTTTGAACCAGTCTGAGGTTTCCTAAATATCACCTTCGGTTTTTGTCTTTTTCCTTCACTTCTCATGTCCTTCTTAAGTATATCAGACCACTCAGTTTTTCTCTACTCCATGTTTTGCAGTGACCACTCGATACAATCCTTTGCAAGGAGCTGCCTCTCTCAGTCAAGGCACTCAGATTTTGTTCATGAGTGGTTCCTTGCCCAAGGGCTGCTGTCTTTTTGCAGAGACTATCAGTTCCCATTTAAATCAGCATCCACTTCAGCACATTAGTTATCTTCTCCTCTCTCCCTCCTCAGCCATCACTTTGTCCCCACATGCCCTTCTTGGTTAATCACTCACCCAAGTAGGTTATTTAGCACATCTGTGGGGCAGCATGTCTTAGGGAACAGCTGTCATCACTTCACGCTTGCACCAAGCATGCTTCATAGCCCTCCCAACACCCAAAACCACAGCCTCACAGCAGCTCATCGCTGTATTCAAAGTGCACTCAAACTTTACTCTCTAACTTTATTGGCTTCTCGTGGCTGTTCAGATATACCTTAAATACACACACATAAAGCAGTACATACTGACTGTCCTTCATAACATATTTTCCTAATTCAGTCCTCCTTTTTTCTATGAGAAATTCCGGTTTCTCTTTTTCATTGCTTCACAACTTTCTCTTTAATTATAATTCAGGAGTTTTTCCTCTACTAGTCTGAGTCAATACTTTTTGCAGCAGTAAAGAATCAAGGACCATCTTCCATAAGCCTGCTGCTTCTCTCTGCTGCTCTGCCACTACCAGATATGCTCTTGTAATTCATAACCAGCAGTTTCCACAACCATAAGCATTTCCATGTCCTTCACAAAGATATCTTCACCAAGATTACAAATGCAAAATGCACCTTATTTTGTGACTTTATTTGCTTGAACTACATGTTGAAGATACTCTTAGTAATCTTCCTAGCACAGGCCTGAATCATTATTTATTTCATATTCTAGACCACCACTAAAATATTTGTTTGAGATTCTACAGTCCTTTTTCTGTGTAATCACTTGGTGACTTAATAAATTCATCCTTGCATATTCCCTCCATGTCAAAGAATAAAGTCCCATAGTGTGTTCTGTAATTCAGGTGTATGCATTATTACATACTGTGGTGGGGGAAAACAGTTTTCCCCCTGAAGTTATAAAATGGTAAACCCCCAGGGGGTGGTGACCCTTGAGGTTTGAACCAGTGAGTGCTTTTGCAAAATATAAACATATCACAAGCAGACCGGAAAAGAAAGTAGTAGTTGTAGTTGTAGTTGGAGAAGTAGCCATGTCGTAGAGCCATGAGGAGAAGCAGCAGGAGCCCCACTGGGGGCTGGGCCCCCCCAGCCCCTGGCTGGGGGGCTGCAGGAACTTGGAACAGTGTTAAACTGGGCTAAGTACCTGTAGCTAGAAAGCTGAAGGAGTTTTCTCCAATGTGAGTGGGCAGACAGAGTGGTGGCAGAGCAGCAGTGGATGGAGAAAGTGTGGCAGAGAGCCAGAACGAGATAAGAACTGAAGAAGCAGCAAACAAACATGCAGCCGAGCGGGAAGACACAGAGTTGTCTGAGAGAGCCGAAAGAGAGCCGGCTACAGAGCAGGACTAAGCTCTACAGAGACTGAGTTTGGTTAAGAACTGAACCAAAACCCTCCAAACTCCTTGGAGACCCCTCCTAGAGAGAGGAGGATGATAGACTCTTACTTGAGAAGAGTCCTAGAGTGCTGCAGCACCAGAGAGAGGAGCTAAGAAGCTCGGAGATGTCCTGGAGCTGGACCGGGACGACCAGAAGGAATGCAGAGGGGGTGACCTTGGCCCCCCCACTGCTACTGCCAAGCTGGCAGTTTTGAGTCAGAGCACGGAAGCTCTGCAAAGGGGGCTTGAATCTCCTGAAGATACGGACCGTCACGAAGGCTCCTGTACTTCGTTGATATGACCGTGGTGAAGTGACCTTTGTCCAGGCGAACACAGCCCATGGAAGAGAAGACCCTCGCTTGGAGATGAAGGGCTGAGAGGGTTTGGATACGCCCCTCGTGTGTACTGGCAGAGATCCAGCTACAGCTGCTGCATGAGAGAAGAGAGCCTGCTGCCCTAGAGACTGCTGCTCTGAAAGTAGAAAGGATCTCTTCCTTCTTCCCTCCTGGACTTTTATTTGGAAGGGAGAAGAGATTTGATCCATTGTAAATACTGTTTTGTCATGGTAGAGATAGTTAAGATTGTGTGATGTATTGTAATATTTATTTTGTACACTCATTGTAATATATAATCCCTTCCCCCCATTTTGAGTCTCATGTGGTGTCTGGAAAACCCATCTCACACTGGGTTGAGATGTGGGAGGGGGGCTAGGACCCGAGAATTGGATTTTGGGGCTCTCGAACCATGACACATACTTGTCTTCTTAATAAGTGGCACTGCTCGACATTTGAGGGAAAATCCACTAGGGTACTACATACATGTTTCTGCAGCAGTTTCCCAAATAAAATCATCAGCATCCCAGCAGCTGCTGATTCTGTTCAGGACATAGAGAACCCAGATTGCTGTGCGAGTAAGCTATGTTGGTTAATTGTGAGGCCACTGTCAATTTTCATGTTTTTATTTCCATTCTGCTTGGTGGCATGTTTGTAGAAGATTGTATCAGCTTTGTTCACAGCTTGATGTGTACTTGGAATATTTGTGAATACTCAGCAAACTATCTTATTCTATAAACCATTATATTTGAAATTTTAGAGCAAATGTTAGAGTAGATTAAAAGACGATGGGTCTACACCTCTTTCCAGTACTCTCTAAAATTTTCAGATAAGGCAAAAGTGAAACAACAACAGTCTTATGTTCTGAGCTAGTAGTGTCCCAACTTTGAATTCTTTGAGTAAAAGTGAAATTTTTGTGTTCTGAACTGAGCATTGACATTTTACTACATTAATGACTGGCAGAGAAAAAGGGTAAGAGAATGTGCTTTACTCACCCAAGAAGTTTGACTGAATGAGTTTTCCATTTAGATCCTGCTTTCTGGGTGTGTCGATATATTCCCTCTTTGTAAAGGAAAAAATCTTCATACACTCTCATTATAGCTGAAAAACAATAGGAAAAATCATCAGAGTCAGCAAATATTACTTCCATTCTTATTCACTCCTTGCATTTTTCCAGTGAAATTTTTGTTGTGTGTTGGGCTTCACTGTGTGTTTATAATTATATTAAACCCATTAATTTCCCAGAATTCCCCTGCTGTGAGTGAGCCAACAGAAATACTTGAACAGAGCTTTCTCGAAGGTCTTTTATCAAGTTGGTTGGCTTTCTTTGTCATGGAAGCCCCTTATCACAGGCTTCTTCCAATACAGTAAGAAGAAACATTGCCTCTTGAGGCTTACATAAATTTTGTAATCCAATTCAACAAAATTAATCTCTTTAAAGTTCATGTATAAACTACTCAGTTCTGACTAGCATCTGCATATTCAAGAAGAGAATCTAACAGACAATGTATATCCTGTGAAATATGGTGGAGTGACACGCATGCCTTTTTCTGAAACTCAGAGTTCATTAAGTACACGGCAATCTCCTTAAAGAAAACTAGATTGTCTATATATATATAAATCCTAATGTTCAACTAAACATGTGGAAAAAACACCACTTTTTGTCTATAAAAATATAAGGTGAAAGAGCTGATGAACTGGAAATTTTGTGCAAATGAATGAAGATTACAACTATTACAACTCTCATTTCATGTCTATTCATTATTTCATAGGAGTATCATTCCCTTTTTAATTAAAAAAAACAGTTCTGGGTTTCTTTTCCACATTTATTCTGCCACTTTACTACCATTTGCTTTATGGTGGGCTGCTAGATCCAGAGAAATGAAAATATTTTTCATGTCTACATTACCTTTAGATTCCAGTGAATCAGAAGCATTAAATATGAACTTAACTTATTTTTTAGCTTATGATTTTATCTGCCACACAGCTTGGACATGAAAATTAGTGAAATCCCATTTCCTAAAATCTTGCACCTTGGGAGTGCCATAAAGCACAAGTTTCACTGACCATTTTTTATGTGGTTGGAGCATTTATAACATGTGTGTCTGGTATAGATCTGCAGTATCCAGTAAGGTGAGCTCATGCCACAGTTTTTTCTTTCCGGCCCACTTTCAAATTTCCTTTTCCTACATGAATATTTTCATAAACTTGAAGGAAATTAAGTATCTTTGCAATATCTTGGCCTCTATCATACTTAGCTTAAAACAGAAGACAGTCTCAAATTTTAGGGGATGAAAGACAACTTCTCAAAACATGGTGAAATGATGCCATTTGCCTAGATAAAAATGTACCTTGCTAATGAGGTCATTCACATAAAAAACTGTATTCTGATAACAAGACTCAGGGAATAAACAGCCATGATGCTACCTAGGTGGCAAGTCAGAGGGACAGTTGTATCAGTTAAATTAGAAAAAAAGTTAAATACTTCAAATTAGTAATGTTACAGCTTCTGCTGAGCTGCCTGCCAAACCAGAGCTCACTCTCTGACAGTCACAGACCAACTGGAAAATAGCACAAACTTTATTCTTAGTTTCTAGATGCAAGCTCAGGACTCCATTAGAGATCTCTGTAAAGGTTCCCCTCCTCCCTCTGTCCCTGGGTTCACCAATGTACAGAGCTAGAAGTTTAATTCCTGTGGATGTCCCTGTCCCACTGTGTATGATGCCACCTGTACAGGTTTCTGAGCTGCAGAGGAGCTTGCAGAGGGAGATCTTGAAAGTGATACAAAGGAACAGAAAGGGTGAAGACTCCTGCTGGCCTTAGGCCAGGTGAAAGTATCACAGGGGCAGTGAAGGAAATGTCATTCAAAAAATTACTGTCGAGGCGTCCCTGGATCTTGTTTTTATACCTTGGCCAAAGGGAGGGGTTGAATGCAAATACTACGGAATTCACTTCTCCCATGGGAGGACTCATCAGGATGAGACGGGAGAAGATGTTTCATTTCTTAATCACATTGTTCTTGAAATCAGCGTCCATATGTTCAGTTTCAGAAAACAATCTATTCTTTATTAGCAACTCTAAATTGTATAATCATAGAATGGCTTGGATTGAAAGGGACATTAAAGATCACCTAGTTCCAAACTCCTGCCATGAGCAGGGACATCTGCTCCCATTAGACCTGGTTTCTCAGAGTCCCATCCAGTCTGGCTTTGAACACTTCCAGGAATGGGATGGTGTTTCCCTGTTGGCTTCTGTTCCCTCAGGAGTCACTGGCTCATCTCTATATGACTGCAAGTGTGCTCCAGTGTGGCCAGCACATTTCAGAGTCACCAGCAGAGGACCCTCACTAGTATCCTGCCCCTCAGGTTTGTATCTCACCCCACACCTTGCCAGGGACAAGCCTGATATTGTCTCTCCTCCTCAGTCACATCTAGCTTAAGGCTTTGCCAATGAGCCCTGCTAGTTCCCAAGCAAAAACTCTCCTCCCTCTCTGGGAAAGATGAGTCCTGTCTGATACCAGCATGCCTAGTGCTGAGGCCGATTCCATTGTCAAAAAAAGCCAACATTTTGGCAGTGACACCAGCCATGTAGCCCTGTATTAATAGACTCAGCCCATCTGATTCTTCCTATGTTGCTGCCTTCAACTGGAAGCATAGGGGAGAATGTTACCTGTGCCCCAAATCAAAAGACATGTTCTTGTCTGTGGAGAAATATCATGCATAAATTATTTCCACTGAAGTGAAGTAGAAATATTTGAAGCCTGTTTCCACAGTAAGTAGTCTATGTGAGAGAATTTCATCCATATTTATATATACATTGCATGTGTATGTATACAGCCATTTGTTTATGTGTGAATGTATATACTCGTATATGTATATCTATATACCTTGCAATAAGGAGCTAAATAATAGTACAGTTTCTGGAGTTAGAGTGGTCTGAGTGCATGAAGCGTAGGGTGGACGGACAGGTGACAAGTCTAGATCTAGCACTGAGATATTTTTTATTTATTCAGTGGATTTGTCCTGATACAGACTGTGACTTGGACAGGATGAGATGATCACAGTCCACCAGCTAACTTTTTTCCTCTCATAAAGAAGAGATTTTGCATTTTCCAAAATGAATGGATTGGTTATTAATGAATCAGAAAAGGTAGCAATTTTTATAAGGTCGACTGTAGTTCATACATGGCCTACTTCAGTCATGCTGAGCTTGTCAGATCTATACATATAGATACAGCATAAAATTCTTCAATAAGGATTTATCTCTTAGACATGCAAAGATACAAGATACTAAAACTAGTCGCTACAAAAGGACACAAAGTTTAGCATTATACATTAATGTAGCTGAGTGCTTCTGCAGATCGTTTTCTATGTCAGCAAATTAAACAGTCCTCTTTTTTTCCCAAGATCATGATAGCTGAAATAATAAGTTTTGTGGGGTCCAAACGCTGATGTGTTGCAACAATGTGCAAGCAATAAGCTTTTCGTTTGATTGAGACTGACTACTGTGTCAGAGAGGATAATTTTCCTACATCAGCACTATAACTATTAAACTATTTCCTAAAGTTCATTAAAAAAAAAAAAAAGATGAATGGACAATATTAAATTTGAATGTTTTCAAAGTATTGATAAAATTTCACTTTGTTTATTGGAAAATGGATTTCTTAAAATAACTAGCATTTCATCATTTGCATCTGAAAATGCTAATTGCATAGTTCCTCTGCCATATAAGACAATAACATATGTTGAGAGAAATTGTCATTCTGACTTGAAAGCTGTATAATATAAAATCTTCAATTACATTTCTACACCTCCTGCTTCAAAATTATTAAAAAAATATTTTTTCTTAACTTTGAATATAGCCAAAAATCAAAGTCCATTAATCATTAAACAGTATGACTGACATCATGATCTTTAAAGGATTTAGCTGGATCTTTCCAGCTATTAAACATTACCTAGTACATTAGATAAGATTGGCCCTAAGCAATTTGTAAGTTCTTGAAGAATGACAAGTGAATGAATAATGGAAAATCTCCTTCAGTATTTAAAGATCATTTGCAGGACGTTTTGGAAAAAAAAGTATCATATGGTTTTACAATTAGATTTATACCCTGGTTGCATTTGTAATATGGGATGATAGAAGAGAGAATTTAGTGACAAACTATTGGGTAGCAACTGTGACTCATTTAAAAATCACATTATAGCCAAAAAAAAAAAAAAAAAGGAAAGTAATTTGACTCAGTGATGCATACTCTCATACTCTGAGTTATATGTTCTTATTTAGATCTTGATTTTTCTACATACAGCATTACCTTAACCCAATAAATGAAAAGCATTGACATTTCAAAAATTATATGAAGTGTTGAGTGGTTAAATCCTAACAGAAGGCTGAATATTGATTATTTTATGTAGAAGACTTAGCACTAAGAGATTAATCCAGCAAACTGTGTATACGCAGATTATGAATGCGATATTCAAGAGATGTCTGAAATTCTATCTCGAGGATCTTAATTTTTTCATTTTCTTAAACATAGCAGAAATTACTGTCCTTGCATCTAGATCAAACGCAGTGTGGGAAAGAATATATTCCTTGGGCAAACAAACTTGGACAGAACAAAAAAATGACTGATGATGTTGTTCTTGGTAAGTCTGAGCTTCAGATTAATTGCAGCCGCACACATAAAGAACTTAAAGAAGCCATTTCCACTCCATGCACGAAAATGAATTCTATCTAATAATCAAAACCATTTGAATTATAAATTGGAGATTATGATAAAACCTTTTATAATCAAAGGCAGTAGATATGCAGAAATCCCCTGAATAAAATGCTTTGGTCCACCCAGTGTAGGCAGACATCCTGCACTATGACCTTTCTCCATCATCCCGAGCCCCACATCCCTCAACCTCTCTAGTTACACGGGCCTGAGGTGTGAGCAGGAACCTGCATTTTCACCTGCCTCCAGCACCATCCACTGCCACAAATGGACAGTATCCAGGGTAAACAGGTTTTTTGCAGTTCCTCACTCACTGCTGATGTCTCTTTATTTCTGACCTCTAAGAGATCAGGGATCTTCATTGCAGAGTTCAGCAGAAAAAAAATTAAAACTCATAAACCTCTACAGTCAACATTTGGGCTCTGAAATAGGAAATCCTGGGGATATTTCAGTACTGAATGACTTGCTAGAGGGCCCATATCCTGTAACATTACTATCAGAGGAGAGCAGGCCTGGTGGGTTGGCCTTTCCTTGTGGGGAAATCAACCTCAGACCTAGACAGCAGAGCTTGACTAACATTTAATTCCTTCTGCACAGCCACAAATTGCTATTTCATTGGTGACTGATGAACTGTCATTGAAAAAAACCACATTTCCTGCACATAGATTTTGCACAAAGTTTCGACAAATCCAGCTTAAGGTCATTTCACTCTTTACAGACTCTGGTGCAGTAGTACTGCCTTTAGGGCTACTACTTGCACACCAAGTGTCCCTGGATGAACTACAGTGCATATGACTGGTTTCTTCGCTGTGGCATGTAATTTGTGTTTTCTAATATTTTGATAAAAGGTCATTCCATGGTCTAATTACTTCAATAACATTATCATCTTCCAAACTTACCATACCTTGCACTGGTCCTTTGTCCATGATTTCTTTCATTATATCAGTTTCCTGAGAGGAGGTGAGAGCAGCAGAAGAAAGGGCAAGGGAAGATAATACATTTATTAAATAGTGTACTTATCATGGCTAGGCTTCACGAATGAAGATTTGGGAAGGGCTCTACCCACGTTTGTTACAAGTGCACTGGTGGCTAAAAAGGCCAATACGAGACAGGCACATCTGGTTGCAAAAGGCACAGCAGAAAGACTCCTTAGGTGGTATATTCTGCAAGGCACGATTCTTTCTGCATTGTCTTTTCTCCTTGAGAGTGATCCTGTCTGCTTTCTCAAAGGCATCAGCAGCGTTATAGATGGTGTGTCTCCAGATCTCCTGATTGGAGGCCAGAGTAGACCAGTTATGTTGATCAAAGTGTACTTATATATAGTATTTTACTTGTATTTCAGCTAGAAAATATTTGGTTTACCAAATGAACAAAAGCTTCAGAAACATGTTTAAGAAGCACTAATGCACCATGATGACTGCAAACTTTCTTTTCTATCTCCAGTTTCTATAGGACCACAAAGCATCAGCTTTAAAGAGATGATGTACAAGTGAGAAACTGTAAAGAATTTAAACTCTTATGAAAATACAAAGACAACATAAAGGAAAATTCACAGCTCTAGTCTTGAAGTAAAGTGGACATATTTTAATATGCTAGATAATATTGAATCCCCAAAGGAGTAAAAGAAGTGAGACAGTAGGTGAACACCACACCATGAACTTACTTTTGAGGAGACCCTGTAGTGAGAGGCACACCGGTATAACCGATTGGATTCTTCTAAAGCATTGGGACATGGCCCATCTGTATAGTTTTTTCCATATTCACTTGACACATAACAGTGATTTTCAGCTGATGGCCCCAGGTGACTGTTCCAAAATGATGGATAACAAGCATAGGATACAACCCTGTCCAGATAGTAAAAAAAAAAAAAAAAAACTTGCTTAAACATTTTTGCCATTTTATGTCAAGCTTTGAACTATTCTGCAACTGTCATATTTCAAGTAATAGTCTTCAAAAGTGTGAATGACTCATATCTTCGACTGGCTGGCATTTCCTTCAGTTCACATACATGATATTTATGATTAAGTTTCAGTTAGAGTAGTCCTCTCCCAACCCTTCTTTGAAGAGACATAGGGCAGAAAAAGTGGCTTAGCACTTGTCACCTGGTACATTCATCTCATTAGTGATGCATGAAAGTTCACATGGAATAAGATCAAGAAATTACCAGTGTTGTCAATGGGACTCATTTGGCAAAAATGGCTTGTGAAATGGGCATGGAATACTGCTAGGTATTTCCAAAACATTTCTGCGTTAATGCCATGGAAGCTTATAAGTAGCGTTTTTTAAAGAGCATAATTAAATAGTTCAGTGAAGCAGAATATTTTAAAATAGGCAGTCCTATAAGAAGCGTATGTATTTAAGTATCTCATCAATTATACTAAACTTTCTGAATCTGAGGAAAAGAAAATTATTCCTACACAATATGGAGTATAATTATGTTTGCCTACATATACTTAGTTGTCAGTAGCCCATATATGTTTCAGCTATTTTGAATAAGACATAGCATTTTCCCATTAGCATTTGGTGGTAGAAAAACTGATCCTGAGGAAAATGTCTTTTTCTTACCAAATCCTTTCTACCCAAACTAGATCACATACATCCACAAGCTTCAAAAATAATTCAGCTTAGATGAAAAGGGATTATCCACCTAAGGTTGTAAGGTTGCTAGGCTGTTATTGCTTAGGTCTTCAATCTGCTCACTGACAAACCCTTTTAATCCCTTCCGAATATCTGAAAGTGTTCTGGATTCACAGATTTTCAATGAAGAATGGAAAGTATTTAGGCCAAACACACAGAGGTTTTTATCACTCAGTTTTAACTTTTATTATGCTGTGTTTCTACTGCCGGGTAGAAGTAAATCTTTGGTTTATATAAGTACACATCTATACATATTTATAAAATCTATTTATCTCTATATGTAATTATTCTATTCAGCACTGATGATAGATTTCCAAAAGAAATACAGGATTACTACTGAGTGCAATCAGGCCTGTAAGGCAGGTAAGACGAGCAAATACAGTCCTCAGAGCACAGTCTAGCATAGGTAGGGCAGGAGTAGGTGATGGTAGTCCAGTAAAAACAAAGGTATGACACCTATTACTCGAGTATACTTAGAGACACCTCAAAGGGAGACAACAGAGGAGAAATTAATTCCTGGAGTAGGGATTTTTTACCCTCTTCTTTCAGTTGGATTGTCCTGATGGACTTTTCACAGGTTCTGCAAGGATGAGTCTTATTTCTATGTCAACAGAAGTGAAGCACCAAAAAATACAGTAGCACACTGGAGCTGTGTGGAAATCCAGACATGATTACTCATTCTGAACTAATAGTCACCTTTGCACCAACCATAAATTCTGCAGTTGTGAGTAACATAATTTAACAGCTTTTTGATGAAACATGAGTTTGTATGTGCTGAAGCACCAGCACAACAGTAAACAATAAAAATACTTCAAAGAGAAGACCTTGCTGGAAGACTCATAGAATCGAAACAGAAATAGATGTAGATACGTTTATGTGCACAAATATAGATGCACATATATGAAAATAATATTAGAAACAACCAGGATCCAAGGAGAAGCAGGAAAATTCTGTGTTACATTCATACATTCTTAGCAGAATTCATCTGAAGTCATGTTTATGTGTTCAATCTCATGAAAGGTTTTGTGTTTTTATTGTATTTTTATATTTGAATTGTGGGATAAAAAAGAAATCCAAAACATGAGACTGTGCTATTAGTAAGTTGGCCAAAAAAAACAACAGCAATATCTTTCTCATACCCTGCAACTGCTAAAAGTACAAGGTATAAATCAGGTTAAAGTCTGATTAGAAGCAGTGTTTGCATCCAAGTGTATAACCTCTATACTACCTGAAAATGAAACATTTCTTTCTCATTCTTGAAAAATATAACCTTTTAATTTCCCTTAATAGTTAAAATAGATGCTTTCAAAGAACATTGATTTCACAAAAATTATGGCTTGTAACTAAAATACGTAAAATCAGTAATAATTAGAAATAGAATACATATTTATTCTTTAATGAAGGAGGATAGAGAGAAAGAGTGAGAGTTAAACATTGTTTCAGCTCCACTTATAGCAGATTTTGCTGTTAATCAGGTACTCAGTGATTCTGAAAAGTCAGGTCTCAGCACTAGCTTAAGCACATTGAGCTTTATGGAAGTCTTCTGCTGATTTCACTGGGGATAGTTTAGGCCAGCACTCAATTTTTCTGAACATCTGTCAAAAACCTGAGACAAGCACACTTCAGAAATCAGAACACTAGAAACTTTAAAACAGCATCGAAAGCCTGCTGTGGAAATTTACAAGCCCCCACAGAAAATCAATGGGTTTTCTCCCTGTTGCAGGGTATGGAGATAACAAAAAATGATTGCAATATAATGGTCCATAAAAATAAAAGTTACCTGAAAGTGTGAGGAAGCAAGTACTATTTAACTGGGCTCATTCAAAAGACACTTCATGCCATAAATTTTCATTTTTTTAATTGTCAGAGGTAAAGACTTATGCATTGGGGAGTTTAGCTACAAAAATTGTTCAATTATCAGTCCAGTGAATCAAAAAGTTTTGTTGTTGTTGTTGATCTTACTTGCTCTTCTCCATTGTCAGAGACAAAATATCAGGCTAGATGGACCCTTGCTCAGACCCAGCATAGCTGTTCTTGTGTTCTTCCACTATCTGTTCTCAAAGATATTTGGACGTTTCACTTGAGATGTTAATTTGTGTCTGGAACTGTTGGAACAGAATCTGAAATATCATTTGAACTTGAGGAAAGAAAATTAGGATATAGAAACGTTTATAAAAATACATAAGTAGAAATACTTTCTCATGTGGCACTTTGATGGCAAATCAATGATCGGGGATAAGAATGGGTAGCAGGTAAAGGTCTGTCATAGCACAGTGATGTTGTACATGTTAGAGCTAGCTCCATGGGAAAAAAAAGCTTAACGAATTACTAAGAAAACAATCTTGTATTGTTGAGATTTATTGGAGATCTAGATAGTTTCCAAAAAAATTCATAACGAACCTCAAAACTCCCCTTCAGATTCTTTACTCAGACAGTCACCTGCAAAGAGGCTGGTGAATACCATGAGGCTGAGCCACAAGGAAGTACTTGGGACTGTGGAGGTGAAAAGGCAGTTCACAGGTGTGCTATGGTGAGCTGAGGTGCTGTGGCTGTGTGATTCCAGGCTTATATCAGTCACAAAGCCTGCTCTGCCCAGGAATGTTACACTGCTGCTTAGTCAGGTCAATCTTCTTGCTACTGTATTTACACCAGGACAAGCTCCTGCATGGGTACAGCTAGGTGGATAATGAAGTGGCTCATATAGCCGCAGCCTGCCTTGCTTTCCTTATAAAAATAAGCTAAGTCTTTTATACTTAAACTGCCTCTGCAGAACAGGCTGTGTCATTACCTACAGTGCTTAAGGTAAAAATACTACTATTTGCTGGTATAGAAAGAATCTTATTATTATGGCCTCATGGTGGTTATGCCCATAGAGCAATAACAGTCAGAGGGAATAGAAGACTAGGAGATTGTCCTATTGCTGCATTCTTTACAGCTTTTCCTCTAAAAATAACTTGCTCTAACTTCACCTCTTCTTTTATCTACACTGTCAATTCTTGAGCTCCTGTCCTTAACAGGCAAGCAAACAGACCAGTGAGAGAGAGTTGTAATTACTCTCCTAAGGGCATGAGCTACTGATTAAAAGGAGACTGTTCTTCTAGTTACAGAAAATTATTGCAGTTAAAAAGTGTTTACAGTTAAAATGTCAAGTTAGAACTTTCATTTCTCATAAATAAGGCCTTTGCCTTTACCCCCATGAGGTGCTGAGTGGCCTTTGCTGGATAGAATCACTCACCTAAAGGGTCTCCCACTCAAAACCTAGATCAAAACTAGTTTAGGGTTTAAACCCTGAGAGAAAGATCAAGCAGTGCTTGACATAAACTCTCCCCATAACAATATGAAATCTTTGTCAGATCAGAAATAGTTTGCTACACCTGCAGAAAGCAGAATGATCGCTTGTATACTGTGTCTACGTGAATGACAGGTCTTCATCTGGATCCCTAGGCCACCTTGTCAAGTAAGATGCATCACATCTGACATTCTTTTGCTCTTGCCATGGTTTGTTTGTTTGTTTGTTTTTTACTTAAATTAAAAGGTGACAGAGAGCACACCTGAGATCTCTCTGTCTGCCAGTTTCAGATATATTAAAGACAGAGTAAGGGATAAGATTGCATGAAAACAAGAGAGGAAATTGATTTTGGTATAGAACAGAAAGGACAAAAATATTCTGGTAATGTGAAAACCAGCAGAATTTAATTATATGGTATATAAAATGTGGTTATTGAAATTCTCCTAGAAGCCATTTCCAGGCATACAAATTTTAAGGAGTTGAATAAGAAAAGGCAATGCAGATTTACCATGACAGGTAGTGATGAGATGATGAGATGATCTGACCATGATGAAATGACTGGTTCCGTGGAGAATAAGAAAAGCAGTAGATATCATTTACCTTGCCTTTAGCAACATTTTCAGCATAGTTTCCCGTGGTGTTCCTCTAGTTTATTGGCTTAGATAAGTTGCTTACAAGTACAGTTGTGAATTGGTATGCTGAAAGGTCGACAGATCAAAATGGCTGGTGTCTGTTTCCTAGTGGCATTCCTCAGGAGTTAACACAAAAGCAACAGTTTTGCATCTCTATTAACAATCTTGATAGTGGGATGTAAGGCACCCTTAGCCAGTTTGTGGAGAATGCAAAACTGGTGATGAGTGATTAGTACGCACAACTGCCATTCATAGCTGTGTTAATAGGCTGGAGAAATGAGCTGACGGAAATATCAAAAAGTTCAACAAAAACAGATGGCAAATCCCACCTCTGAGCCAGAACTGCCCAGGTACTGGCAGGGCACTGCCTGTGTAGAAAGCTGTTTTACAGAGAAGGACATGAGGTCCTGAGAAACAGAGAGCTGAATGTAGCTCAGCAGTGAGCCCTCTCACAAACGTGGACAACCAGTACTAGGCTGTATTATCAAGAACATAGCCAAGACATTGTGAAAAATTATTATTCCCCTCAAATTACTACTCCACAGATAAAGTAATATGTTCACTTATGTAATCCCCAGGAAAGACACTGATAAACGGAGTAAGTCCAGTGGAAGGCACTTAGGGGACTGGAACTAAAACAGCTGAGACAGCTGGACTTGTTCAGCCCAGAGAAGAGAAAGCTAAAAGAGGATCTAATTCCTGTCATCAACTACATAAAGAGAGCTATTGATGAGACAGAGCAAAACTCTTGGAGATGCACAGTGAAAAGCAGAAAGGTACCAGTCACAAGTTGTACCAAAGAAAATACTGATGTAAGAAAAAAGTATTTGACCATGAGTGGTCAAACAAAGTGACCTGCTGCAGAAAAGGCTGTGGATACTCCATCCTTGAAGATACTCCAAATGTGTTCAGGGACATGACCTGAACAGTCTGTTCTAATTTCATAGTCATGCTTTGAGCAGAACATTGGACCAGGCGACCTTCAAAAGTTCCAACCTAAATCATTCTGTGAGTCTATAAATGATTTTATGCCATTTTTAAAAAGTCTCTAGTTCTCCGTGTGGCCTTTGACAGCTGTTAACTTTGCTTAGTCTGACCTGAAGGAAGAAGGATCTAGGTATAGTTCTTGATAGAGTGTTGCATTCTGGAATAAACCTTGGGATGAGATTATTACAATTTGCTTCATAGAGAAAAAATGTTTGATTCTTTTGAATACTCACAATGTGGTCTCATGCAGGTGGCTGCTTACTCAAGGTTGTTTAACATGAAGATCCTGTATCCCAAGAACCACAGACGTTTTGAGTCCACTTACAGTATTGTCTTATTGTAACTTAAGCAACTGTTTCAAGTTAAAATAATCCAAACAGCTAGATAAAATATTTACCCATGTGTTTTCAGATATCTCCAAGCACCATCAATACTTCCACCATTACATCCATGTTGATTGGTATCACAAGAGATCAAATTCTGAACAGAAAGGTTGTCTGTGATCTGACCCTTGGAATGAATTGTTATTCTATCTGCTGCAACACCTGTTTTGAAATAAATATTCTTTTATAAAAAACAAATAATTACTCACAACTTCACATTCGTCATTGTGGAAAAGGACTGAAATACAATCCCAATATCTTCTGCCTGTGCAGATATCTTCACTAAACAATACCAATATAATCCGTAGAGACTTTCAAGAGAGAAGATTGTGAAACTGCAAAGCATCATGAGCAACTTTGCTGTAATATTACAAATCTCTAGATTTACTGGTTATTGTAAAGTCCCACATATCTAAAATCAAATGAGATATTTACATAATTTAGTCTGATAGTCTCTATGATGTTTGCAAATGCACAGTCATATCCAGTTTTCTTCAGCAGAAGATGTGAATACTTCCCCACCTCTCTGCAGCTGAGTCTCCAAATCTCTTCACTTTCTTTTCCACCCTTCTTTTCTTTATTTGAGGGGGGGGGGAAGCAAAAATGAACAGTCTTTTGAAGAAGAAAATTCAAGACTGGAGACATCTATTGGTTTCATTAGAAAGAATATTTGGACATGTTCATATTAAAGTGTAAATGTAGTATTCTCTGTACTTTCTTCCCTTATCCCGCAAAATTCTTCTTCTGAGATAAACATCTTAGATGTCTGAATTCAATCAGATAGTCATAATTCTTAGTACTTATATATTTATGCACTGATTTAAAGGCAGCCTAGGTTAACTAAGTTGTGGTTGAAACTAACCTACTTCTACTTTCTTTATCGAATGATGATGAAACAACCATTAAGCCCCAATCCCAGTCATTACCTGTGATTAAATTATATTTTTGTTACTTTTAGCCCCTCATTTTGAACCTGAAAATAAATTTTTAAAAATATCTTGAAATCTAAGGCTCCATCAAAATCAACACTAACTTTGGTGAATTTTGGGCAAGACTTCAGAAAAGTGAATCTGCTCATGGCAGGTGACAATTGTGTTTTGTGCTTTTGTGAGCTGTCACATGATGATGAATTTATTTTCATAGGTATAAGAGTCTTTTAGTAAATAGTTTTGGAATAGTTACAGAAATTACTCATGATAAGAAAAATTATACAGTAGTGGTTTTCTATTCATTGAACAACAATTAATCTTGCGAAGAAAAATTGAAAATTGTTAGATGCAGCTAATCAACATGGGAAGGCATCTTATAATATTTAGCTTTGAAAATAACAATGAATTAAAATTAAAAGATTTACTTATGAAAGGGAAAATTTAGACATAATATCTGGGAAGTCTTTCCCTCAGTGATCTCCGCAGTAATCTGTCAGTAGAGCTGTTAAAAGCTCTCTTGGTCTGCAGTGGACAGGACAGGGAAAAAAGTGTTTTTGGTCTGACTTTTATAGAGAGCTGGGGTTAGCTGGCCTAAATGCTCCTTTCCTTCTCTTACTGTTGTGATTTAAAGAAGCAGTTGCAGCAACCTGCACCAATGAGGACCCACTGGCCAAATTAAGTCATAAAGATTGATTGCATAATTTTTTTCTCTAGCTTTATATATCCCAATACACACTGAGATTTATTGCAAGAAAAATGTACCTAGCTGATTTTTTAACTTCTTTGGTGAAAGTGACAATTGTGTCCACTTTTCATAAAAACAGAGGTTGTAGCACATGAGGTTGAATTGCATTACTGACATTGCTCACAGAATTTGAAAGATTGTTTTTTCCACAAATATCTGAGCAGTTTCAGGGCCTTTCTTCTCATAAAATTTGAAAATATTATACCAAATTTATTTGAGAAGCAAGGGTTGAAAACTGTTAAATGCAGAAATATATAAATACATTTAAAGAAATTGAAGCCTACCTGTTTTAAGATTTCAAGGAAAGCATGTAGTTGCACAGACAAGGGATGCAGAATTTTTATGTTAAAAAAGCTACTCTACTAGTTACAATAAAGTGCATCACTCAATTAATTTTCTACTTTCTGTCACAAAAAAATTCTCCCTATGTTACGCAATCTTATGAAAATCAAACAAAGAGCTGCAGTTTAGATTGACTTCTTAAGAATTTGAGACAACATACAGGGAAAGTTGCAGCAATTTCAAATATTTCTACTTGTTAATAAAGAGTGAAAAGCAAGCTGAAATTGTTTAATTACTATTCACTTTACACATCTAACATCAGTGATACTTTTAAAGGGAGAAAATATTCATATTACTTGCGGTTGAAAAAGCCCAGGATGCTCCACAGTTTCGCTGATCCAAAGGATCGTGAATCCACTCAGGCCACTCATAAGTGGCTGAAAAAATGGCAGGAAACTTTTCTTCTGGAAGTGACTTTCCCTAAAGCAAAATGTAGAAGATCTGTATATGCTTCAATTCATATTTTTATATTAAATTTTACAGTAATTTTGTTTATAAAATTCTAAATTTTTGAATTGAGGAACCCTAAAGCCTTGACACCTGTGGCTTCCTGAGCAACTCTGAGGTGATTACCCCATGGCTGGATGCTAAACCCCTATGAGAGATAGTGGAGTTCTGGCCCTCCACTAGCTGAGCTGGAAAGCTGAGCTCCATGACTGCCAACCTGAATAACCTGTCCAGTTCCTCTCGGATTTTTATCTCAAACAACAATTCTCTATGAAATATGCAAAGTATGACCCAGCTGGAATTTTTGGAAAGAAAAACCTTCTGCTACGAATAGCTGTGAAGTTCAATTACCCTCTTCTCCTTGACATGTGGCTATAGGTAGGGAATTTTAATCACTATGGGAGAGGCATTGGTACAGTGTATCATTGGATTGTCTTTTGCACAGAGGTTTTTCAATCTTCGGCACTTATTCTCGCTACAGAACAAAAATCAGTGATTTTCCTTCTGTTTTGCAATCTGATGGAGATTAAAACTTTGTAAAGATTTCTAAACTGATGAGAATTCATAGTCTGCTCACTAAAGCCATTTGGCCAGCCATTTTTGGCACCTTCATCTCTCAGCCTTAATTTATGTCTACCTCCAAAGTCCTCCAAGCTTTGAATAAATATTTGCATATGCAAGAACCATCTGGTACAACCGCTAATAGTCTGTTCTGTGTTCAATGTATCAGAGCCATTGACCCATTTTTTCACCTGATGAAATTTATGGAATGATTGATTTTGCTGCGAAGGGAAATAGGAATGGCCAAAGAGAATTGCATTATTAGTCCATTCAAACAGTTTGTCTCAAAAAATTGTTGAGAGCATCAACTCCAGAGGGAAATAAAATGCACAAAACATGATAATCTGTTCCTAAGCAAAACGCTCACTGATGATTCTTTCTCATAAGCAGGCTGAAACCCTGAAGCACAATAGCTTCTATCCTGTTCAAATTCCTTTATTATTTTACTTCAATTTACTTATCTTCTAATTCTGGGTATCCTTGGTGCACCATTTTTCTAAATTGCTTATGTGATTTATAAAACTACATACCTTTTACTAAGATGATTGAAACATTTGAGGCCAGCTCTTTCAAATTATTTCAGAACTCTTTGGGGAACCAAATGTTACCACTTTGCCTGTACCAAGATCACTTTGTTGCACTCACTGTGTAACGGCAGTGCCTCCATACAGCTTGTACACCTGGATTTGCCATAGAAAACCCAGAGCTGAGAAGTGGGTAAGGAAAAAGAAGCTTGTACCTCAGGTACAATCAATCTGACATTAGATTGGGATACAGCCCCAACAAGCAGATTGATAAGCCTGTGTGTATGCCTAGACCCAGTGCTTCCAGGTTCACTAGGTTAGATGCAGGCTGTGAGTGCTGAATCCACTAAAGTATACTGCAAGCTGTCTAGTCTATCTTAAAGAATAACTTGGTAAATTATCATTATGTTCATTTTTAGTGAGCAGACGCAAGCTCAAGATTTACTTTGAAGATTAAACACGTAGGAGAAATCCCAGACAAACAGAATCTCATTTACATGATAAGACTATTCACTACCAACCAGTAAACAAGCAAAATTTGGTAAATGTTGTTTAGCATACTTATGTGGGCAATGGCTGCTTAAAATGCTACAAATGAGGCAGTTGAGAAAAGCAAAATTCTAAACAGATCTTCAGTGTGTGATAATGTGTTACTTTATATATTCCTGAACTACTGCCAATGTATTTATTAGCCTCATGTTGTAAATCCCTGAACAAATCCCTCATTAACCCTCAGCCTTGTCATTTATAAATCCAGGACTGACCTGTAGCCAGAAACATTGCCTTTTTGTCTGAAAAATTGTTACCCTGATATTGAGAAGCGCTGCTGCTCTGTGACAAATATTAAGTCTAGGCCACTGTTTCTCAAGGTATGCTCCATGGACAAGCATCAGCCAGCACAAGGCAATCAGCAAAATGACTGGTGAACTATTTTTAAACATTCATATGTACTCTCTGCAGTGAAGCCTAGCAGCCTGGCCAAAGCAGGAAGGTAAGTGGACATAAAAGAGCACTCGAACTTCAACTATGACTTCTTCAGAAAGGTTGGATGACCTATCAGAGAAAAAAGGCCAAAGATAACTGAATTTGCAAATGTGGAAATAGTTTTTCTGAGGGAAAGAATTTTATTTTTTTTCTTAAGGTAGGAAAAAGATTCCAGATATCACTTGCTTTGTGAAGACAAAATGGGAATACATGACCTTCAGTTTGCAAGAGAAATACCACTGCTGAGGTCTTTTACTAAGAAAAGACATATATCAGTGGAACAGCTAGTATATTTTTCTACTTTCACATTGCCTTTACGAGTTCTTTGATACTTAATGAAAAATTCAACCTTATTGTTGAATTATGTATTTCATTTTCTTCTAAGATGGCACTTAGGTGTGGCTGGGGGGTGCAGACCCGACCATTGCAATTCTTGCCAGGACATGTACTGACAGAATACCATGAAACACGTGTCACAGTGTGTTTTAAAGGTGTGGTGGTTATTCTTGTGCTACACTGAACTTCAAGAATGGTAACACTGTCTTTTGCAGTGAAAATGCCTTCTCAGATTGAGGAGCTTCAGCTTTGTCAGGAATCAGAGTTTTAGTGGTGCATTTAGCTGTTGATCTATGTTCAGGTCTAACCGTACTCTGCAACAGAGAGTCCTCAGTTCAGATTAAGTTCTTGCTCTATATAGTTTTTTAGGTATTCTAAAGTGCCACCATATTAAACTTCCCTCCCTGCCATAAGCATCACCTTATTGAGCAGCTTTAGTCTTTTGTTGATAGCAGAGCTTTTAAAAGCTCTATGAGCAACTTCAAGAAGCTCGTGTTTTCTCTAAGATGAAATGTAGCTCTGTCACACTGTTTAATTTGAATTAATGTTATGAAGTTGTATTTGCAGTTTGATATGGCAGTCAAAGAAACAACTAAAAAGTCTCTATTCCACATCCAAACTTTTCAACACTGCTGAGAATTAAGATTGGGCTGTAGACGTGAAGTTGTTAAGACACAAAGGCTGAACATTCTTGAATATTTTTTTTCCATGCAATTGAGTAAGGAACCCCTTCTACACAAAAATGCTTTTTCCAGTGCTACCCCAAAAACAGTAGGAAATAATCAGAACAACAGGCCTCTACGTACCAGAAGCCATCTTATTTTCCTTAAATAGTAGATCAGCAGCATGCTGAAGAAATGGATTTTATTTAAAGGGGGAAAAAAAGCCCCAGACTCCCGAACACTAATTGTAACATTTTTATCAACTAAATATGTGATTTTGGGCAAATGACTTCCAGTTTTCTCACTTGCAAAATAGGAAAGGCAGTAATAATCCCAGAGAATGCACAAACATTTAATTAGTACCAGTTTATCTACAGTAAGTAACTAGTACTTTGGCCTGCAGATGAATCAGTACTCAACAAAGTCACTTAAAGGTCAAGCCATTAAGGCTTGGAAAGTGTCCCTGAAAAATATTAAAAAGTCATTATTTCTGAATTTCATTATTCATATCTCTTTTACTCCGTTCTGCATTGTCACCTGGTGACAGGCAAAGCTTAATAGAAACATTTTCACCCAAATTCATAGTTTTTTATCACTTAGGACTTTGTGATAGTATGCTTCGCAAAATATCAGTGACAAAAAGTTATTCATGGAAGGAGAAGAAGGGTCAAGAGTCTTTGAAAATCTGTTAAAATACTTGTCTTAAAAAATGCCTGGAAATGAACTCTATGGCTGCTGCTGTTTTGCCAGTTGGAAGAATCTATTGATGTACACCTGGTAAGCTCAATCCATGCTACGAAACTGTTGGATTGTGCAATGACAGTAGATATGGAGCTGTCTATAAGTGAAGAAAATTGTATTTTTATATTTGTGTGACAAAGAATGAGTCTGCATCAAGAAAAAAGGTTAAAATTGCTAAAACTATTGCAGAGGCCATACCCTTCTTTCCCAACTTTCCTGCCAATTAGTAGCTCTGCACTGCTGTCCTCACATGGCCTTCCATGATGTGAAACCCTTCTGCCACAACATATATACAAGGATCAACAATTGACTTTTAATAGATAATTAAATGGCATTACTTGTCTGAACCATATAGAAGCCAAAGATAAACACCTGTTTATACTTGCAATTTTTCTAATTTCACTGTGGTGAGCTAGTTAGTTTTTCTTTTTATGGTCTATGATTTCCAGAAATTGTGTCTTTCAAAAAAGAAACTAACTGGTCCAAAGCATCTTAAAATGCTTAACCTACCTACATAACTTAAAGTATATTTGCTTTGCTTCAGAACTAATTTGAGCATAAATAAATGATACAAAATTTAATTTAGGTGTCATGAAAATGGCCATGGCAAAAAGATTTAAAAAGTTGGTAGCAGAAAATCACTTCATTTTGTCACGATTCCCATAATTTTTCTTTTCATTTGTTCAAAACCCAAAAAAACTTTTCACAGCTTCTGTCAAATATTTATGTTTAGTCTTAGCTGTTAGCCTTAATGAACTTTTTTATGGTTACAGCTAAGTGTTCAACTATTAGCAAATGGAGAGGATAGTATGGAGCCATCTTAAAGTAAACTATAATGATAAACTAATATTGGTGCAGAGCTTCATAGTTGTTAATATTTGCTTTTGCTCCTCCTTTTTCAATTTTCATCAATAGGGCCAGACACTCTATGACTTGTAGAACTATTCTGGGAACTACAACATGGGAGCATTTCATATCAAAACCCTGAATCATACTCTTATAATCGTCCACATTTATTTTCCATTGTGATAAAGTTATTAAAAAAGTATACATGACACTTACTGGAGCTTCTCTCATATTCAGCAAAGAATGAGATGGAGGAAAGGTACCCAGGCGCTTTCTGAAACCTTCTTCCAATGTCATTCCCCAGAACTGACTGTAGTTCTCAGCTTTCCATCTTCCTCACAGACAAAAAACAAACAAATAAATCCCACATTAGAGATATCATTCAAATTAATACATTGCTCCTTTATAATAGTACAACTAGCAAAAACATCCATTTGGAACACTATGAAATTTTTTATTGGATAAGAACTGAGTTACAGGGGAGAGCATTCTCTTCTATCATGCTTGTGTATGAAGGAGATGGGATTCATCTTGACCAAAGGAGAAGTCTCATTGTTCTTGGTCTCCCTGTAGTCACTGAAAACGCAAGCACCTGGAGAAGTTGAGTCATATCTCAGGTAGGCTTAACCACCCTATGGCAAACCTCACTGCTCACCACTAACAAAAAAGAGATTAAGGGCACCAGGTGCCTTATTTAGGTATTTATCCTAATCCAGTTGGTTTGAATGTCTCCCATGAAGTACAAACTGTTTCAGCACTCATCACAGCTTGAAATCTGGGCAGGCTTCATTGTTGAATTTAGCACCTCAGATCATAGGGAGGCAATCCCTGTATCTCTGTCTGTAAACAGTCAGCAGACTCCCAAGGCACAGATCCAATACTGGAGTGTCCCTAATCCCTGTGCACTAGCTAGGGGAAATGAGACTTTTAGCAAGAAAAACAAGCCCCACAAAGTTCTGATTTCTTGGTCCTCTTTGGGCCCATTTTCTCCTCTTCCAACACTACCTAGAGTCCTGTTATGTAGAATAATGCTCTTAAGGGAGGAGAAAAAACGACTTTATATATCTATCCCAAGTAATAAGTAAAGTGAAGAAGAAGGGAAGATGATGTAAATTGCGTTTTGAGAGAAAAAAAATGTTCTAAGTCTGGAGAATGTTTAGATAGATGTTTACAATAATTCTTACCAGCACGAGACTTTCAGTATCTTTCCATTTAAAACTCTATAATCTGCCAGCTATTTAGGAAAGTTTCAGAAATGTGCACTTACTGTCAAATTGCTGTAATGTTACTGGAGAAGGAAGGGGCAGGGAGGATTGCATAACTTGTGATTTGCACATACATACAGCAAGTAATACAGTGATTTATAACAAAACCTTAAAATAAAAGGGTTCTCACCCATAATCGCCAGAATTGATGCCCTGAATTAAGTCTTGGCGAACAAGGCATACATCTGCTGAACATTTCCAGAGACTGTTGAAACATTTGCTGAAAGGACAAGAATATCATTGAGCAAAAAATGAATTGTCAAAAGAGAAATGTGCACTTTAGCAGCAGAAGGGAGATAGATAAAAAAAAGTGCAAGCAATATAATTGTCACATAGTATTTATGAAAACATAATGCCACTTCTTCCTGTTTCATTACCTAATGAATCCTAATTGGAACAAGGTGGGAAAGTTTACAGCTTGTGGAAAGGTCATATTTGAAAAATATTGCTTCCTTCTTTGTGAGACAAAACCGGGGGAAAAAGGCAACATCCTGTATTGTTGATGTTGAATTCCTCAAAATTGAGATATTATGAGGAAGTTTCACTCTGGAAACCCAGAAAGGAGCCATGTGGCCATAGACACCTTGCTCCAAGGACCCTGTTTGGGTGCTGGTGGAGCCCCTTGGGATGCCCTGGGACTAGAGGTGCAGGGCTGGTTTTTGAAGAGGCAAAGCAGGGAGGCAGCTCAGGCAACTGACTGCCACAGCTGGCAGCTGAGCTCCCCTGTCTGCACTGTCTGCTCCTGTCCCAAGGCAAAGAAAGGGATGTAGGAAAGTTCAACCCTTTCCTACATAAATATACATCTATATATCCTTCCCTTATGAAATAATGTAAGGTCTCATTACTCATGAAAAAAAAAAAAAAGCAAAGCACTGGAGGAATAATCCCACAAACTTTAATGATTCTTGTCTTGTGTGCATTTGGGTTAGTGCCAGAAACCAGTTAGCCTGAAACCATTTTGACTCAGGTTTGACTGAGCAGGAACAGAATTAGGCTAGTGAGGAGGAGATTTCAATAGTCTAATATTCATATCTTGATTAGAAAGCCTGGTTTCCCTCTTGCCATTCTTCTAAGTTGGCTGTAATTTACTTTTACAAAACCTTAATATTTAGCACTGCTCTTCCAGCCATTTTGATTTGATTACATCTTTAATGTGAATTTAAGGATGCTCTCTACCTTAATTCCTGTTTCATGACATATGCTAGATAAAATTCAATTTGCTGTTCTCTGAAACATTACCAGGAATTGCAGTTGTCTTTAATTAATGTTCCTTCTCTGTAATATCGGCCGTCTTTATAACAACCTGCCAAAATAACATATAGATGAGTAAAAATGACATAAAAATAATATTTGAAGTGAATTACTCAAAAACCTTGCTACTATTGAATTAATTTGTTATATGAAATATGCTTGAGTTGAAAGTTGGCAATATCTATTTCCAGTTTCTTCCAAGTAATGAAGACAGTTTAATGTATTTGAATTTTTTACCAAATACATTATCATTCATAATAAATAAAATCAGCATCAGATTCAAAACACTCACTGAAAAATATACTATCTTACATGTAAATAAAAAAAATAATTCTTCACATAAAGTTATTTTCCAGTAACAAAAAGAAAATATTTCTAATAAAAATTATGTCTTATTTGGCAACTGGAGTAGAAATAAGTTTTTCCAGTATAGAATTTAAAAACCTAGTGAATATTCCAAACCTATTATATTTTTTTCCTTGCCAGGATAACTCCTCTTTGAAAAACAGAGAGATCAATTCTATTTCGAGGCAAATGTATGTTTCACACACTCTCCAAAACCCAGTATAAATCCTAAACTGAGTAATTTTTTTTCCAAACAAATATGTCCCTTCTACTTCTTTTCTTTGATAACACTTCACTGAGAAAAGTTTTTGTGTGTGTTTTAAGGTCTTCCACATAAACTGTTTCATCAGTGCATTTGATTGTCAAGTTCCAGTAAAAGAAAGATTCAGAATGCCTGCAAAGGGCTTTAGATTGAGTCAATAACAAACATTATACATTTATCTCATGGGTCTTTGCTTTCCAGCCTGTTCTGACATGTGAGCCTACAGAGATCATGTTCCCTCCCCCACTGGGAGGGATTGGAATCAGAATCCCCAAGTACTCCTTTCTTCTCCATTTTTAAGAAGTTTAAACTGTAACATACTGTTGACTTGCAAATTTGTATGATATCACACTTTTTTTCCCACCACAAATGTAAGGAAGGCCATCCCCTTCTCATGGTAAGGGCTGGAATTTGTCTGCCCAGACATACACATATGTTTGCTTCACTGGCAGGAGACAAATAAGCACTCTAAGCCCCATTAAATTTTATAACAATGTGCAGAAGTAGACTAGAGTTGATGAATTAACTCTAAGTGTCTTTCCTTCCCTGTTGGTCATTCGGCAGACTGGTAGCTAGCACAGATATAGGTGAAATAAATCCCACCTAAGCAGTCTGAGGCCCAAAGTGTCTGCTCTAATTCAACTTCAGCTAAGATCTGAGGTATTTTTCAGAGAATAGTCAAAGCAAGTTACCAAAGTTTCAGTTTGTCACAGTCTGCCACAAAGTCAGCATCAGATAGTAGCTGGAAGGAGGCCTCAAGCAAGATATTTCCAAAATACAGAGGGAAAGAAACATTGATGCAGCATCTGAGTGACAAGACAGAGCCTCACTAGAGCTCTGCTGGCCCAAGATGCAAACCTAGACTAGTACAGAAGCAGCTTTCTAATGATGTATGCTTAGGGAATTAAAGATTAACACCATGAAGTTTCTTTAGCCTAGTCAAATTAATATTTAGAAGGCCAGGAGTGCTGCCTGCAGCAGCAGTGGCAGAGAGCAGAGATATCTAAGCTAAAAGACACATGAGAACACGAATGGCCCTGAATATTTTATTTTATTTTCGAACATTAATATATTAAGTGAGAAATTAATTAATTTGAATATAGCTTAATGACTTTGTAAATAGGATTTTATGATGTGAAAATCATGATTGAAAAGAAGAGTATTTGATTAATGGTGACTTCCTTCCCAGTCCAGCATTCTGATAGCATTACGGCTCTTACTACAGTTGCCTCTGATATTGATGTGAGCATTTCTGTCAGGGAAATGTCTTCAGGTTTACTCCCTCAAAGGCCAGATCCTGACTTTCACATTAAAGTGATTAGCAAACTCTCTGGATGTCACTTTTACATCATTGACAGAGTGAGTCTCAGTGTGTGGATTCTGATAGGGCTTTTTGTACCATCAGAATAATTGAAACAAAAAGACAAAATAACTAATAAATACAGTCCAGAGATAAAACTCAAACAGTTGTTCTAACAGCAAACAATAAAATACTACTAATAAAACAATCTCGAACTTCTATTTGGTACCTAAGGCAGGAATGTGCATTTTCTTCTGAAACTACACACAAAAACCATTGAAATATACTGAACAGTGGACTTGTAAAGGCAAAGTCAGAGCAGTTCTACATAATTAAATCAAGACTAGCCCTCAGCATAGTGCATGACCTCAGCATGGTGCATGGAAGAAGTCACAGCATAGCTTGTTTCTACTGTACACCAAGTTAGTGAATATGTGGGGATCCAGAAATAAAGCATTGAGCAATTTTATTGCTGTACATTCCAGCCCATGTAAAACACTTTAGTTTATTGTTTTATTTAAAGAAATATTACTCAGGAAGTTCTGAAAGCAAAACCACAGGCAACCAAAAGATCAGAATCTTCCAGATAAAAAGTACTTTGGCATGTATGGTCTTCAGGCACTTAAATAATTCTTAGCCTAAGGCAGATGTGTAGTGTCAGTTGCTAAAAGTCAGCTAATATACTTATGTAATTTCTAAATAAGTTTCCTAATTTGCTTAGTCTTCAGGCATTCAGTCCTTTTTGTTTCTCCTTTTTTTTTCCAGTTTCTCAGACATTCCTGTTCAAGAAAATTCCTTTAGACTTGGTTTTGTCTGTTGCTTTTTTCTTGCTGTATTTTGGATTTATTATTCTCCTTTTACCCTCTAAATTATGTATATAATAAATATCCAATAGACAGATTTTAAAAAACACAGACTTTCTATCGTTTTACACATCAGAAAAATAGGATTTTTTTTGAGATGACATATAAAATAGTGATATAACATCATCTATAGGACAAATAAAGGTGATTGAATAGAGTAAATATAATTGTTACCTCTGGTAGGTATGTACAGCCCAGGAGTTACAAAACAGTGAACGCAAATGCAAAAAATTGGATTAAGAAAGCAGTAAAAATATTACCCCTCACCTACTGCCTTATCTAAACCTTCTGTTACATTTCTACCTTTGAGAGGTAGACTTAAGGCAGTGCCCAAATGGCAAACTGCTGCAGGTTGTATAGTGATTCAATTCCATGAGACAGTTTGCCAAAGGAGACTGGCAGGCTGTCAACTCTGGAGCAGAAATGCAGCTACATATTTATGTAGAGCTTACAACAACAACCCCATGATCTGTTGGAAATAATATACACAACTGCATCAAATAAATATGAAACAAATGTCTTAATTTACATAGAATCACAGAACATTCTTTTAGATGGTTAGAAACACTTTGGAAAATCAAATTTGTTTTACAGCATTTTTGTCGCTCCCACTTATCACATTTTGGCTGCAGATTTATGCCTGGCTAAGAGCACAGCCTCTTGAAGAATGCTGGAATGCAAGCAGCAAAATTATTGCAAAGAAACAGTTAATTTTAAAATGTCATGGTAGTATTTTTGTTGATTTTAGACTTCTGAAGCTTTGGTATGTTTTCAGCCAGATTTGATACTGACAGTAAGAAGCTACATAGTCTTAAAATCCACAATACCAGATTTTGCTCACCAGCAGAGATTTGGCCTATGCAGGAGCCAAGGAAGGACCAGTTGTCTGCAGATCATTTTTTTGCAATCTCTAGTTCTAAAAAAAATTAGATTCAGAGTCGTGCCAGAGGAACTCACAATGCAAACTAACTAGTAAGGAACTAAAATATGTCAGAAATTCTTGTTCTAACCACATCCCTTCAATTATTCCTTCACCTGAGCTGTTGCAGGAAAAATAGTGTCCTACAGGAAAGCTACGCTGGATCAAAACCATTGCAGAAAACCTCAGAGCACTATCATACAGGATAACCTTCAGTTTTCTTGACAATTTATTTGTACTGATGGATACAAATATTTAGAGCTTGCTGTTAATCTCATTTTAATCTGTGAAGCTCTATTGAAGTTGTTGAGATTACACGAATTTTGACCCCATGAGGTTATTCTCTGAGAAGTTTCAAGTACAGCAGAGGTTCTGTCCAAGAGAAATATAATGAAACCAATGCTAAAAATATGTCCCTAGAGACAAAGAAGTAACAGCAAGCACAATTCTTAGTCCAGTTTCATACTTCAGCATCTTTGTCCACTATGTCTTTAGTCACAATTTCAGGATATATACAATCTAAAGATTTATCAGTAATTCTTTCATGTATATTTTCATTGTGATGCACTAAAGCCAACTGAGTATTTTTTTTCTACCTACCTGATGCTGGAGGTGGCCAAGGCTCATCTGACCTGGTGGGCTCAACAGGGTGGTCACAAACATCCCAATAGTCAGCACAACAGTCTACAGGGCCAGGTGAACCTGAGGTACAGTACTGGTCACAGTAACATATAGCTGCTTTAGAGACGATATTAAAGCTGCAGTCATCATCTCTTCCTGTGCAACAGCCTCGTACCATGCAGGACCTTCCCTGATACAGATTCCTTTTAGTCCTGTTCCGCTTTGCAAAACCGCCGTCTTCTACAGAGTAAAGTCCTCCGGGAAAATTTCTTTTAGAATCAAGCTGCTTTGCCATACAAACTTCACTTGCAATGCAATATAAGAGCAATATCTGAATTTTGAGCCACATTCTTGTGCTTCTAGCAGTCTTTTTTGAGGCTTGTTGTCCTTCACTTTATAATCAAATGTTCATTCACTGTAGTGTAGTACCTTCAGTTACCAATCAGAAAAAAATCTGAACAGAAAGCTGCAGACTATGGTTTTCTAGGAAGATTCCACGTGTTAATTATTAGTCAGATATGTTGTAAACTGATTTATTTGGCCAACATACAGAGATACTGGAAACAGAGCCATAATTATGTATATGTCATTATGAAACGTTGGGTGCATTCTCTTGCAAGTGAGTAAGTTTATAGTAGTTTCAGAATATGCAAAATATACATGATCCAATATTTTGGTTCTATACTTTAAACTCCTAAAATCAAAACAGTGTGAGGAATGAGTATATGGTGTCAAAGGAAGCTCTCTTTCTTTTCATATACCTATAACCAACATATTCTCCATATGACTAAAAACTCTTTAATACTTCGATTGCATTTTATCTACATTTTCCTTTCTGATAAGCAGGGTTACATCACTGCAGTAAACTTATCCTGCATCCCCCATCTCAGTCTTATTTCCAGTGATCTAGCTTAGCCTTATATGCTTCACTTTGCATTGTTTTACTATGGGCAAATTAAGAAAAAATCAGGTGATATTCAGTATAAACTATTACCTAAATGTATTCTTTTAAGATTTGCATTTCTTTAGTCAAAATGAACTGGCAATCATTATAAATAATGTAATAAATACCCACCAAGGAGTGCTCATTCTTATTTAAAAAGGAAATGTTTGTATTAATAAAACTGCAAAGAAAACCAGAGCAGATATCAAGGATAAGTCTAATAGCCTTGACTATTTGATCTGCGATCTCCAGGTTTTTGAACAGTGGCCTGAAGAAATATACATGGTACTGTTGCCAAAACTTAAAAGAGTCAGAAAAAAGTAGCAAAGAACTTTGAAGTTCCAAGTAAAGGTATCACATAAGGCTAAATTGAAAAAAAAAAACCAACCAACCAAACAAACAAAAAAACAAAACCCAAAACCAACCAACCAACCAAACAAGAAAAACCAACATAGTTTCAAATCTGAAATGTTACAAGACAATTTAAGTCTCCAAAGCTGAACAAGCAGAGGTAAAAACTACTCATCCTTCTGTCTCCATTTTTTAATAAGTGAGAGGAACACAGAGATGTTGATGGCAGGCTCTTTTCTAGGGAACAAAGGGGATTTTTCCCTTTATGACTTCAGCTGGACTGCTCAGGAAGACATCAAAGGGCCCCTCCTTTCGAAAGCACAGCTGGTGTGGATGCCTTGCCATGAATGGCAGAGACATTAAGAGGAAGTGTGTGTGTGTGTGTGTGTGTGTGTGTTTATATATATGGACTTGTAATTCAAATGTTCAAGACTTTGATACAATTTCTTGTCAGCAGTGCTTTTATTGGACCTGCCTCCCATCACAACCAAGGAACTGCAGATGAGGGAAAATTACATCCAATCACATAATTTTTTATTTCGCTCTGTTGCAAGCAACCTTTGCTGTGAAAGTTAATAGAAAGGCCAAGGTCAGAAGAAAGCAATCACCCTACATCACATTAATAGGACCTAAGTCTTAGCCTTCAAATTTGCTCTGCATTTTTTTTATTAAGTTTTATTTATGACAGAAAAATCTGGACAATGTTAATTCTGTCACTGACTACTATAATTTAACAAATATAATGTGAGAAAAATGAGAAAGAACACATTCATGGAAACAGTGAAATGCTCACTGGAAATTATAATTCAGTTCTTTTCCTTATGTCTATGCAGCTCCATCAGCTCCAAGAGAATGACTTCTGATTTGCACCAACATTAGCAAAAGGCAAATCTCCTTTGTATTACAAATCTTCAGAAACGTTTTTAAAGAGTTATCTCATTGCTCTGGAAGCATAAGAAAGAAAAAAAGCTAACATGTGGTTAAAGTTGTCCACCAGTCAGAATAAATTAACAGGCATATCTGTGTTTTCAACTTTGAAGATTTGCTGATGATAAACCAGAGGCAAGGAATTTGGAAATTTCATGAGCTCATTTACACAGGAGTAAGATTTCTTTTAAAGGGACACAAAAATGTAACTTATGCTTCTAAGCAGCTTTGTTTTGGGACATGAGATTGTGCTGAACCTTGATAAAATCCATTTTTCACAGTTGTTGGCATATGTTAAAACCTTTAAAAAATCCCACAGAACTATTCTACTCTGGTTCCTCTGTAAGCAAAAATAGCTCTGTCTCCACTGTCTGAAAGCATGTTAAGTCTCCTGACTTAACTGTGACTATTTAGAAAAAGCTGAACATGATGCTTTTTCTCCATTGAAGATTAATATATTCCAAGCATAACAGCTCTCCTAAGCTTATGAGTTCAGGTCCTAGTCCTAGTTCTAGTCAGCAGAGTTAAGTGCAAAAATATCTGTCTTGTACCTGTTTCAGCACTCCTTGATGTTTAACCTTGAGTTTCAAAAAACACCAAACATTTGGCAGGAATTCAAATATAACACCACTAAACCATGTCCCCAGGTACTACATCCACACACCTCCTGAACACTTCCAGGGATGGTGATTCCATCACCTTCCTTAGCAGCCTATTTCAATGCCTTCCCATCCTTTCAGTGAAGAATTTTTTCCTAATATCCAATCTAAACGTCCCCTGATGCAACTTGAGATCATTTCCTCTCCTGTCTCTTGTTACCTCTGAGAAGAGACCAACCCCCACCTCACTCCAACCTCCTTTCAAGTAGTTGAAGAAAGCAATAAGGTCCCCCCTGAGCCTCCTTTTCTCCAGGCTAAACAACCCCAGCTCCCTCAGCCACTCCTCATAAGTCTATATCTTAATCCTCATAACAGGTTGATCCTCAGTGTTGCTGAGTTGCCACTTTCTGACTCCCTGCTTTTACCAATTTTTTTAATACCTTAGGGAACAGATTTTTTTTCCCTTTGCATCCCAGAGTTCCTATTGTTACCCTTTTAACAAAATCCCTCTCTCTGTGCTTTCACTTTTCTTATTTTGCACAGCATTAGCTTCTGAACTTCCTGATATTTAAGCAATTTTCTCATTAAAACCGAGTCAAGACCACAGAGCTGTGCCGCACTAAACCAGGCTTTGGATGGCAGCCAGCTGAACGCTGGGGCCAATGGCTGTCCTTATTCTGATGCAACAACCAAATTTTCTCAAGTAATGAATTCTGCTTCTCCTTCCCATGTCACATTCTATACCACTGTCCAAATACATGCCTCGTGCTAAACACATTCCTCTTCTGACCACTTGGGACAACTCTAATAAATCATTTTTTCACTAGCTTAAGTTGTAGCACATAGCAACAACAGAATCACCACAAGCATGCACACGATGGGGTGAACAGAGTGTATCAGACTGCAAGAGCAGATGAGGCAAAAAGCCCTCACCAAACATAAGCAGTCATTGTTATCCTGACAGGAATGTGTATTTTACCATAAAATAATGAATAAAAGCAGGGTAAAGGCAGCAGAACGTGGACTAAATATATTACACTATTGAATAAGCAGCATCCATTAATTTTCTAGTTTTACTGAAAAAGCGATCACTTTCATGTTGTTTTGCTCTTTATAATCTCTCATATAGAATTTTTTTCCTTGTACTTTTTCCTTTGTTTTTACAGGCTAGAGTTCCTAGACTGTAACTGCCAATATAATCTTATTTTTCATTCATAGATGAAAGCTGTTTGAACAGAGAGTGAAACTTGTTTTTAAAGTATGCAGAATTGAACAAACTCAAAAATCCAGAGGTCAAAAAACGGATTCCTCCTTAGTCCTTTCTCTAATCCTAGCAGTTCTTTCTCTTGCTTGTGTTCCTTTCACCTATGGACTTCAGTTGATCACCTAGGTAAATTAAAACCTAAACCTAAACCATACCATGTGAATAATTCTCTTGGTTAGACACGCTAGAATGGATTTGGGCTCTACAAAAATGAAATTCAAAAGGAAAATAAATTTGAGTTTGGAAACAAATTCAGAACAAAGCAAATGCCATGAAAAAAAATGGGCAGAAAAGCATACTAAGACTTTTGAGACTCACACACACATCGTCTCTAAATATGAATTTTACCCACTTCAGTGATTTACTGAAACCAAGAAATACTATTAGGTCCTTGGTGGGCAGACCTATTACAGTACTTTTAACACATTTATAGTTATAGATGCATTTATATGTATGAATTTATATCTATTTTTTTAAGTTTTCAATACTTTTTGTTGTATTTGTATGTGTTGATTTCTGTCCCACGAACTCCCTCTTGAATTCACTGATGAGCTTTTCTCAATTTTTTTCCCACCATCTGGTTAATAGGTATGCTATTCACAATGTGTAGACACTTAACTTCTATTATTTTTCCACTGAGAAAAGAAACTAAACAAAAACCCTACCCTTATATTTGTATCAATCTGTTCACAATATTATGAAGGACGCACATGCTCCTGTATCAAGGGAAAAAACGAATATATTGCCCATAGAGAGAGACTTACTGGTTGCTGACCTTTTCTTCTCTTTTCACAGTTCCAGAATCCAACAGCTAAAAAAGCAGGATTGAAGTTACACCAGGTCCAACAGTGCAAGAGGCTGAATAGCCTAAGCTGGTTTTAAATTTAATGTTTTAACTGATAGTAGTATTTCATAAATAGTTAATCACATTAATTTTAATGAAAGCAGCAGCAATTCTCATTAAAATATTAGTCTTAACCAGAATGTATCAGGAGGTAAAATGCTCCTGCAAAGGAGAGGGCTGCAATGCAAGGGTCCTGAGCGTATACATACCTGAGGGTGATTTGTGGTTCAAAGGACCAAGAGACTGGGGAGAAGGCAATTAACTCATGCAAGCATAGACAATCAGTTCCTTAGACTTTTATAGTGCATTTGGGAAGCAAACTGTTTAAGATCCAGGCTTGGACAACATTGTGTGGAAGCAGCACAGAATCAAAAACATAGGAGCGTAAAGTGGAGAGGAAAGTGATGTTTCTTCCTCATGCTGCAGTAATTCTGCCTGCACTCAGCAACTGGCACAGACCCTGCTGGCCAGAAGGGCTATCAATATGCATGGCAGGGAAAAATCGCTGCGCATGCTGACTGCTGTGAATGCTGGCACAAACGTGAATAGTCCCTGGACTACTTCACAAAACCCTAGTGCCTGTGCGGTGTCAAAATGTGACCAAGGTTAAGCAAGCAGGAGCATTCCTTCCCAGGCAATGCTGGCATTTGTTCTCAGCTATTTGAAACACATGGAGTTAAATTTACAGGAGTAATAACAAGAATCACAAAAAACACTTTGCAACAAAAATACAGCTTTATTTAATTTCAACATTTATATTATTCCTAAATAAAATATGCTGTGTTATATTGGGCATCTCTTAAAACAACAAGCATTTCAAGAAATGGCATATTCAAGTGTGTAGCTCTGGGGTTAATTATGCTATTATATAAGATTATCGCTTGAAAGAATATTTGATTGTTATTACTGCTTTACAATTATCATACTGGAAGCAATTTTTTTTAATGGTGCTTTAAATAACATTTGTGGTGTGGATTCCTTCTCAGTACAGAAACAGGCCTCAAAATGCAGTTTCAGCTCTTGATCCTAATTTGGGGCTGCAAAAGAAGAGTTTTTGCATGAATCCAAAAGGTCAAACATAAAGATTAGTAAGATGTGTAACACGCATTGAGGTCACCTAGTTTTTCTCATTTATACAACCTGATGATCTAGCTAACAAGAGGAACTCATAGTTTCACAGAAAAAAAACCCAAACCGTAAAGATATATTCAGCCACCTCATTTGTGCTATAGCTGTGGGAGCAGATGAGAGCTGCAGACCAGATCTGCCTTGTGAGATGCTTGCCTGTCTTTGCAGCAGCCAGAGGCAAACTGCTTTTAAGACTTAAAATTTCACAGAGCTGCAACTGTTCAAATCCAAACTAAATCTCTCTCCCTGAAATTTAGGCACATTTCTCTTTCTCCTACTCTCAGGAAAGATGGAGAAGTGACTAATATCCCCTTATAATAGTCCATTATGAAGAGACACAAACTGCTGTGCCTCTACTCTGTCCTTATTTCTATTCATCTGTGCGAGGACATGATACATCCCATGTAACTGATTTTTCACTAATACTGAACAGACATGGGTAATTGCCTCTATCATATTATAAGCACTCTCTTCAATATCTCCCTGGAATGGCATTTTTTGTAAGACCATCACCTCTTCCACTATATTTAGTTTGTCCTGCCCTATAATCCTCAGGTTCTCACCTGCAGTAACATCATCATGCCTTTTCTGTCTGCACTCTTCATACTTTTTTGTATTTGTCTTTAATGAATTTTACCATATTTATTTCAAGCCCTTCTTGTAAGACATTTTTTTAATTAAAATCCTGCCTTCCAAGCTGCTTGCAAGTCCTCCCAAATGGGCATTAGCTGCAAATTGGGTAATCCTACTGTCCATGTGATTGAGCAAGTAACTAATGACAAAGTTTTAAAGTGAAGACATATAGTTTTATATAGAAGACAGCATTCTGGAAAGCTGTGAGATGTTCTCCCTCTTTGGCAGTAATTCTCAGAGTCCAGCTTTCCAATCAGTTATGTATCTACTTTATGTGAATTTAATTTAGCCCATATCTGCTTTGCTTGCTTATGAATGTTGTGTGGGACTGTGTATAAAACACATCCCTGTATCTGTTTTGCTGTCACAGAAGGAAATGAGATCAACTTGATAGGATTTGTTTCTGACATGTCCGGGTACAAGTAATCTTATCTTCTTACCACTCTCTAGATGCCTACAAATGTGTTGTTTAATACTTTGTTCCAGTGTCTTGGAAATGCTGTTAGAACTGATTTTTCTGTAATTCTTAAGATTTTTCTTTCCTCTTTTGTTTAGATAGGACATGGTGTTTGCCTTTCTCCAGTTTTCTGGGAACTTACTCATCCTGCTAATCACTAGTGTTTGAGAAATTGCTTTGATTAAGTATTTTAAGGGTAAGTTTCATTAGGCTGTACCATCCTGAATAATGCAATTCACCCCAGCATTCCTTCAGGTGTTATTTTCCATTTCTCTCCATGATCCTACTCTCAAATTCTTAATAGTAATTGAAATAAACTTTTAGTTATAATTACTCTTTTTTTTTTTCTGAAGACTGAAACAAGTAAAAAAAAAAAAAACAAAAAAAAAAAGGCATTGAACCTTTCAGCCTTTCCAGTATCACCTGTTTGATGACCTCCCTTGTTAAGTACTATATTATATCTGCTTTCAAGCATAGTACATTATTTGTAATATGGTATTGTTTAACTCTAGCAAACCATTCATTTTAATGGCACTATGTGATTATGTGCTCAAATATTAAAAAAAAACCCCATCTTATTTCCCTGACATCACTTTACTATCCAATTCCAGACTATACCTCAATCTCTTCTAACTTTTTGATTGTATACCACTTAAAATTAATCCAATTACGACTTTATTCTGTCATGCTAAGAATTGGAATTATTCTGCATTGGTAATTATTCCTGGAAAATCCTTCATCAAACATAGCCATCTTATTATCCAAACACTAAATTGTGTAGCTAAAGCAGCCTACCATCTTTTTAATCAAAGCCATAAAAATTTGTTAAAGTGACACCAAAGTAGTTACATATTCAAATTGTGACTGTAATCAAGTTAGAAAAAAAAAGTCATACTCACTATCAGAGCTAAACAGAACCTCTTTCTTTGGAAACCTATAGAAAATGAAAATAAAAGGTGAAAACAAAGTGGAGAGGAGAATAAAAACTGCAGTATGTTAAGCAGGCACAGTTGTAAAAACCAGCAGACAACTTCATACAGTAAGTACTTTCTCTTTTTTTAAAGCATTGGTTTGCTGCACTGTTAATTTACAACTGTGCTTACTGAACCAGGGAATGATGTTTCATGCATTGACGTGTTTGAGGAAGTCTACTGCACACAGAAGATTTCAACAGACAAGCATCACCTTGACTAAATGCACATCAGAGGACATTTCAGACTCATGCTTTTTTAAACCTCATGCTGGGAGGACAGAGTATGTGGCCACCCTTGCATTCACATCACTTAGGAGTTATTTTTCTCCAACTTTGTAAGGATTTTGCCACAGGCACCTAGAATCTCAAACTGAGGAGCAGGGTACATTACAGAGCGGACGAATAACTGGTTGGGACACTGGTCTAAAAAGATAGTGGTTCAAAATCTCTGTTCCAGGTGGTGTTTCAGAAGATGCCAGGGTGACATCTCCATCAAGGTCCTGAAGATCCTATATGTCCAGGAAGTCTGTGAATGTTCCTAACTTGGATGGGCGGGAGAGACTGATATGCCAAAGGTATGATTTGCATTCTGAAGGACTTTTACAGACTGGAGGAACAAGCTAGCAGGAGATTTGTGAACAAAGGCAAACACAAAATCCTGCATCTGGCAGGGGACAAGGATACGGGGACAAGGAGGGATGGAGGAAGTGAATAACCCATGCAATGTTATAGGTCAGTGACTGGCTAAGTAGCAGCTCTGCTAAGAAGGACATGAGGTCTAGTCAACACCAAACTGAATGTGTTTCAGTTCACGCTTGTGGTGAAGGATAACTTCATACACAGTTGCATTAATTAGAGCACAGCCAGCAGGTTGAGAGAAGTTATTCCCCTCTGCTGGGCACTAGTGAGGCTGTGTCTGGAACATAGTTTCCATTTTTGAGCCTTCCCAATAAAAAAGAGTTGTCAAGCAAGCAGAGGAAATCAAATGGAGGACTATCAGGATGGTTGCAAGTGTTCCTTGATTTCTGGGAAAGACGTGACAGATGAGGGGTGGCAACAGCGCTTGTTTAATCTAACGAACAGGCTAAAGGGTATCCATTTTCCCTCTCCAGCTATTTAAGCAGGGTTTATAGGTGGCTCAGATTTGCACAGTGAAAGAAAACGAGGCAACAAGGGGGGAAATTTTAACTAGCCATAAGGAAAAATATTTTTCAGAGTAAGAATGGTCAAGCACTATAACTAATTTTTGTCTGAGTCTGTGATTCTCATTACCTATGCATTACTTAGGTATTGAATATTAAAAAAGCCTCCTTCAACATACAACTGTGACTACCTATTCAGGGCAAGCTCTTTCCCTCTAAAACTATTATACAGTACTCCTGCCACTATTTGAAGGGGACCAAATACAACAGCTGTTTCTTAAAGCCAAGTAGAATTATATTAAAATAGTAGTTTAAACAACATACTGACATTTCAAACTTTCTCTTTATCACTCTTATATTACTACTCTTTCAGATTTTTTAATGTAAACTTACCATAAAAGTAATATATTTACAGTAATTCTTTTTATAGTCATCACGTTGGAAATAAAATCCTATAAATGCATAAAATGCTTTTTCATTGTTAATGCACAGTGATCTAATGCCCTTTCATGTTAGTAGCCTATAACTGAAAGTTTTTATTTAAAACAAGAAGATATCATTGAAGGAGGCCAAAAGTATTGCCCAACTACCTGTTGCAAGTATAAACTTCCTGCTGTACATAAAAAGTATTAAAAAATAAAGGTTAAAGCATTGTTAAATTATAAAGTAAATAGAAAGTATGTCTGCTGATATTTAAAGGTTTTATTTGAGAATTTAGAAATGTGCATTGTTTGGACCTACCTTTCTATTTATAAATATCAGAAGGCTACAGCTTACTGTTCCCTTTCAGTGGCCCATCCATTTTGGAGGTTAAAGAATTTGTTACAGCTGACACCTGACACCTTATTCCTTTAGTAAAAGTAATTATTCCTACTTTTAATGCTCATTTGCAGGGTCATTAAATTTTTAGCCAAATGAACAGTTATAATGGAGAGAGCCTAAGTTTGCAGTCCTTGGCTTGGTCAAAATAAACTAAGGATAGTGAAACCATCACTCCAAAGAAGAGGTTGGCAGTAATACTCTGCCATACTAGTGTATACCAGCTCTCCACTGTTTGGGGAACAAGGCTGCAGA